GTATTATCTATAATTTTGTTAAGTTCATTATGGGCAGCCAGAGCCCTGTGATATGAGCCACATTTCATGGCTTTTGTGCCGGGGTGATGTGAGATAATGCAGTGTCATTACACTGAATATTTACATAATTGATTACACTGTCCCTTGTAGAAATTACTCCGTGGCTGTCGGCTGTTTGGAATTTTTTTGTTGAAACTATTTTCCAGCAAAAAGCAGAAAACCTTTCTTTACTAAAATATCTGCAGCACCTTTTCTGAGCAATTTTAATGCAAATTATTATATAGCAGTGGGTCACCTCCGCCAGCAGAACCAGCATGTAATCTATGTAGATTATGATAAATCCCAGGATAACAAGAAACACTGACCTGTATCAACCTTTTGTCCCTAAAATGGCACAGAATAGCACTTGATTGAGAAATGTGGATCTAGCTTCCTCATGCTACTTTTTTGTTATTCAGAATCTTTCTTGAATTCCATGTCTCTGATTGCAATTAAATGACTCTCTGTCTCTCTCCTTGGCAGTGCTTCCCTGTTCAAGTAAGAAAATATATCTAAGTTTGTCGAAACACAGACATCTGTGCATTGTTTGGAGGACATATGCTCAAGAGTTGCCAGATCAGTGTGCAGCATTCCTTGCAAATGCATGTGCTCAGGACTTGCACACTTTCCCCTGGTTGAGTTGAGCTATGTAACATAAGAAGTAGAGTTGGCTGAACATTCCCCTTTCACTGATCATGGTGATGCCTACTCGGTGTGGGTGGCTGTTTTCCTCTTTCAGCCAGGATCTAACATGAATAATGGAGCCTTTCATAGACTCTCCAAAATATTGCCTGTTTGCCTTACCAATCTTTTCCATTTGTCATGCTGCTTTAACAGCAGCCCCTCTACTGGCTAGTAGTTAAGTAGCTTTTGGTATAGTCACATCATCTGGTTTCCTGCCCTGAATAACTCAGAACATTTCAGATGCTGAGTTCTTGTTAGATTTCTGAAGTTTACACAGGGTTGGGCCTGGTCAGTTCTTGGATGGGAGCCCTCCAAGGTGCTGCAGGAAACTGTGGTATAATTACATAGTTGGTACTTGTCTCTATAAATTAGTCCCAGCAGGGTACCATGGCTACGCTATGCTGCTGGAGATGCTCTTTTGATGAGCCCTTAACCACTTGTGACTGTTAAAATCTCTTCATGGCATGTTGTGTAAGAATGGGTGCATGATACCCACTATCTTCGTTCAATTCTCATTTGGATAGTTATTGCCTAACTTGGAAAAAAAATAACTCCCATTGTTTCAGCTGGAGAGATTTGTCTCCAATATCATAGAATAATAGACATAAGAGAGAGAGGAAAATTATTATTGTAGGCCAACAAATCCGGCTCCCATACAGAAATATTCTCTATTGTACACTACGTAGGGTTTGTCAAGTCTATTTTTTAAAATCCCGTGGGTTGAGGCCTCCCTTTCCTTCCCTTCTTAAAAACAATCAGACAAATCCTGGATATTTAAGGCTAGATTCTATAATTCCATCTGGCCCCACTTTGTCATTCTGGGAGGTACAAAGAGACCAGGAACTGGCCACACAACTGGCCAACAGAGAATTCACCTTTCAGAGGGGAACTCTGCTGGCACAGATGTATTAGCTCCAGTCCCTGTATCTCCTATCCCTGCACCATAGTGTAAGAGCCATGTTAGGGTGTGGGGTCGTGGTATGGTCAGAGTTTAGCTACATTATGCCTCTGTTTCACTGGTGTAGGGCCCATTCAGGACCTGCTAGGAAGCAACTGTACTTTTCACAGGGGTCAGGGTTGGCCCTAAGAATTGGGGAACTGGCTCCCTGACATTCCACCCCTCTGGCTTGACAGAATCAAGCCCGTTGTATTTGTGTCTTTATATCTTCGTGTTGGCTGCAACATCTTGCCCCGTCTGTGGCTAAATAAATACTATAGTAGAGTATATGCCAATATATTTGGTAAAGGGTTTTGGTGTCCTGCTGGGTGTAAGGTGTTGTATTAAAATAATGTGGCTCTCCCTTCCTGCCAAAACCAGGCTTTCAGTCCATACGCTGCATTAATGCTCTGATTGCATTTGTGTGAGTTGATCTGTTCGTCATAATTCCTTCTAATTTGCTAACGAGGAGTGGACTTTCCCAAACAGAAATCTAGCTGTGAAGGGTATCATGTGCATGTCCCGGGGTCCCTATAGTCAAGTCAGTGTGTTTCTTTCTCTAGACAAGAACAGAGTTGTTTTGAAATATCACTCAGTGATTTGTGCCACTCTCTTCTTAGTCAGCTTTAGACAGGTCCATATTAACAACTACGAGGCTGTAAAATGGTATTGATGGATATCTGGAAAGCCAGAAATTGCAACAGCCTCCCATTTGTGGTTTACTAGTATACAGAAAAGGAGATGTAATAAACCATATCATCTCCCACCTTTCTATACCAGGTCGTAATGTACTACCTAAACGCGCATGTGCCGATGCCACCTGCATGTAGTTAGCCAGTAGTTATAGTGTATGTATGTACGCCATGCATGAATTTGCTATGTCATGCTTTTTCTAGTGATTGATATATATATATATATCTTAAAATAAAAAGCTTTTGAAGCTTCAGGAGTGACTCCAATAAATTTTTCTCCAGTGCTATCTTAGCATTCTCCTCTCAGTTACACCAGAGTAAATTATGAGGGACTGCACTGAAATCGTTGGAGATAGATCAGTGTAAAATTGGTGTAAGTGAGGGGTAATCAGGCCCTTGGAAGCTAGCCATCTGCAGAGAGAATCCCCACAGCCACCTTGAGGCTTTTAAACTTTCATTATTTTAAATTTAAAATGGCTGGCTGAGCATTGCCTGTACTAAAACCTGATACAATAATAGGAGTCAGAGGTGTGAAAAGGCCTCTGAGGTCATCTAGTCCATCTTCCTGCCAATACTAAGATTGTTTCCTGCAGTTCAATTTTCAAGTGATCCTGGAAATTACTGCCCTGGTAAAATGGGCACTTGAAAGAAAACAAAGCAATTCAAGCTTCAGATGTCGCCAAAGGGATCCCATCCCATTGAAACAGTGTGGTTCTAATGTTGGAGCCTCTGTTTGTTCTGTTGCTTTGTTACAGTTTTCAAATGAGGACAATTTAAACCTGAGATTTATATCTGTGAGCCATTTTGATCTACCTGTTACTAAGCATGGATGAGCTGTTCAAATATTATAAGAACTTCCAGGAAACTTAAAATAAATAACACCTTTTTAACTAAAAAAATTGGTTAATCTTCCCCCCCCCCCACCCTTTTTTTGGTATCTCTGCACTTTCAGGTGGCAGTCATAAGTGGAGGTGTTGTAATACTGTAAGAATGTCTATTCTTGTAGAGTTTCCACCCTACCAGGCTCAGGAAAATTGGAAGTATTGCAAGAAGCTCACTTCTCATCAGTTTTCCTTTCCAAATCTGCAGACCCAAGAGATTCAGACAGTTCCAACAAGATTCACATGAGAAGCATTGTTTTGAGGCTTATTAGAATCAAACCCTTTGAGGTTTGGTACAAATATTGATGCATGTATCAGTTTGCATGGATGATCATTTCTGGGCAGAGTGAGAGGGGAGAAGCAGTCTAACAGTTGCAGTACTAAAATGATTAGCGTTTGGTCCCCCTTGTGGATTGGGGAAAGAGAAGGGCTAAATTCCAGATAGAAAATGCATTTGCGGTAGGGTTTCCAGGCATCTGGTTTTCGGCTGGAATGCACCCCAAATCCCTCATCTCCGGCCCCAGCCCAGAGCCTTCACCCCCAAACCAGAGCCTCAACCCCCTGCCCCAGCCCAGAGCCCTCTCCCGCACCCCAAACCCCTCATCCCCAGCCCCACTCCAGAGCCTGTTCCCCCAGCCCAGAGCCCACACTCCCAGCCAGAGCCTTCACCCCCATCCCGCACTCCAAACCCCTGCCCCAGCCCTGAGCCACCTCCTGCACCGCAAACCCCTCATCCCTGGCCCTACCCCAGAGCCCACACCCACAGCTGGAGCCCTCACCCCCCTCCCTGATCGCAACCCCCTGCCCCAGCCCAGTGAAAGTGGGTAAGGGTGGGGGGGAGAGCAAGGAACAGAGGGAGGGGGGATGTAGCGAGCAGGGGGCAGGGCCTCAGGGAAGGGGCAGGGAAGAGGGGTGTTTGGTTTGTGCGATTCGAAAGTTGGCAACCCGAATTTGTAGCATTGTCTGAATAACATTTAAAAGCCTATTTCTAAAGCTAGATAGTTGGGAGAAGGTACCAAGACACAAAGATCCCTTCCGGTTGTACCTATGTTGTTTGTGTTAATTTCTTCACTGAGGATTCTATTATGAGTTCCATTTTCTGGTCTGTAGCTTTTTGAGCATTCATAGTTCAGCAGCACACTAGCCTTGATGACTATTGTAGTCTCAGAGAACAGATCTCAGTCGGGGAGGTAAGGAGGCACATCAGCTGCCACCTCTCTTAAACTGGAAGGAGTTATAGGAAAACAAAGGTAATTGGACTGTGTTTGGCAAAAGTCTTCTTTTATTTTATTGTATTTATTTTATTTATGCAGATTTTTAAGCCCTGGGGGCTGAAAAACACAGAAATCATGAGAACACTTATTCCCAAAAAAGATTCTTGCAAAGTTTCTATAATAAAAGCAGAGAGCTGCTTTAATAAAGCCATGATTATCCTCACACAAATGCTGGTCATGAATACGTGTCTAACATAACAGAAATAAATGCCTGACTCTACTATTCCACTATAGCACTGACTTAACATTCTGTGTAGGCTGATTATTTTTTCAACAATATTTGTTATAGTCTTTTAAGGTCTGCCAGTATTTTTTTTTTAAGCTTAGTTAGTAAGAACAGCTGCCAGTGGAGCCAAGGCTAAAAGATGCAAAATATATCTGCAGAAGGCAAGATTTTACTTCAAAAGACCAGTATTACAAAGCATTACTGTTGCTAGTATAATCACTTTCTTTGGGGGGTTGCTAATATAGACTGGGTTTCTTGTCTTTGCAGCCCCCACTGAGCCTTTGCTGTGCAAATTTGCTGACGGAGGGCAAAAGAAGCGACAGAATCAAAGCAAATACACACAGAACGGAAGGCCGTGGCCAAGAGACGGAGAGGTGAGTGGCACTCAGCAATCATTATTCAGCCATTTGGGAGGAGAACCTATGGGTCTGGCTTTCAGGGCCTTGATAAAATCATGTTCCATGCAAAACAAAATGGCTTCAAAGAGAGAGAGAGAGAGCAAGACTTTTATGTTATGTGTCAAGTGTAAAGTTACAGAATGGAGAGGTGTGATTGACCTCAGCATTACCATACAGTGAGTTCTCTGTCTGTTCCCAGACTTGAACTCAGTGGATATTTACAGATGCACCACCAACAGTGGATAGTTCTGCAATGTAGCAGTCATGCAAATGAGAGCGTGTACAGCTAAATTTAGCAATGCAATGTCAACTTCTTACGTTACAATATATAGTTGTAAAATAACACCCAGTGGCAAAGCTATTACCAGTCTTCATGGTGCTTTTTTTTTAAGGTCAGGCATGGAGGATGTATTGCTTATACAAACTGAAAAATACACTTGCACCCAATTCATATCTAATGAAAGAAGGTCCCACTCATTCACAGCAGGTCTGAGTTTTGGCTCTTTGTTCAGTTGACAGACAAGGAAGTTACCCATAATGGAAACTGGTATGGGGATATGATAATTTAACAGTTGCTCTCCTTCATTGCTGTAAATGTTCAACAAACTGGAACTCCTTTTCCATGTACATGTACCCAAAGCAACTCCATTGGTGTACCAAATCAGAATGGCATTTGTTTGACCCTTCAAGTGTGTGTTTATTCCTCTTGAATGTTGTTATGAGATGAAGCCATTTGAATCAGTGAAGAAAATCTGATTGTAGTGCAGTCTTGGGTATTGGTATAGCTGCTAGAGTGAAGTTCCTGTAGTATTTCCATGCCTAAAGACCTCCCCCCCCTTCCTGGAGTTTATCATTGGGATGTTAAAAAGTTTTACTCCCTGCTGAAATGTGGCATACATGAGTTCAAGCTTTTTTAGTGATTCACATTTTAAATTTGCGAGAGAGAGTGTGTGAGTGTGAATTTGGCCATTTGTAACTTCCAAAGGTGGTTAGTGGTTTCAGACAGGTTGTTGTGTTCTAACTAGACTCCAGCTTGATTTGATGAGCTGATTCTTTGCAGACCACTGGTCCGTGAAGTTCAGACCATTAGTCCATGAAGCACCATAAGTGAGCTCCTAAGCCATCTTGAAAGCAATCAACGAGTTGCTCACTTTAACAAGGCGGCTACTGTACACTGATCCAACAAAAATTCCTAAAAGTATTTTTAGCTTGCAGGTTTAGAGCACCAGCCTGGCAACCACATTGACATGGCAGACTGAAAGAGCCTCAAAGGGGTCATTACGGTCTGTTATGCCACTGATCCAAAAAACTGAGAAGTCTCCTTTGGAGACATAATGGTTTATCGTGTTAAGAATCTACAGAATAAGGAGTGCCCAAGAAGGTTTTGACCATCCCATAAAAGTCTCTAAAAACTGGTTTATGTGGTAGGCACTATTTCTATTAGGCCAACAATTCGTATTTTAAACAGCCTGTATTCATATTTATGCAATAGACGCCATTCCAACCTATCATGTCAACTGTTCTACACTTCTTTGAGTTCCAATCAATAAACAGCAAGAGAAAGTAAAATGAAAATTGACATGCCACCATTATGCCTACCTCAGCACAGTGTATGATACATCCCATATGTGCAGGAATTGTTAGACACAATGGGGCAAGTTAAGGACAATGTTACACTCATGACTTACAAATAGGATTTGTTTAATATGTTAATAATTGTTAGCTTCAAAAAGTATCCAAAGACAGCAGTTCTTACTACTATTCTACAATACAAAGCTAGGGTCACTCAAAAGATGCCATTAGGTTACCTGTACACAGATGCAAAACAAACTTGGAAAGACAATAAAGAAATGAAGGCAGGAATATTTCCAGATAGAAATATCCTCGGCAGATGTTAATGACCTTTGGTAACACTTTGCTATCTTTTTAGGGGCTGCTAGCTGAAGTAATTGAGACAATAATGTGTTTAATCTTTTAGTGGCAGTCAGCCGTTTATTTTATATCTTTGACGTGTTCATGTATTTTTCACAGTTGCTAGGCAAAATCCTTTTGTGCCGTTAATGTTATTGTTCAAAATGTAATGGAATTTTTCTAGCTCTTTATACTGTGCCTGCAAGCAAGACACATTGGTCAATTGTTTTACATGCTGTGAGCCTCACACTGAATACCTTTTGTAATAATATTTATTACAACTCTCATTTTGTAAGCAAAAGGGACAGGGAATAATAAGGAATAATTATCCAGAGAACAGGTGTCCTACTTTTGATTAGGGATGGGATATTAAAACCTTACCTGCACCTCTGCTTTTCTTGGTTCCACTACAGAACAAAAATACTGAAATACCATCTCAGCGATACTGCCTTGATATTTCCAACCTGGCCACATCTTGTGAGATTTGATTTCCAGACCAAAATATATTTGGCAATAATTCAAATACATGTTTGAATGCTTGGTGCTTATGTGAACTGCATCTCTGAAACCTCTGAGGTTGGACCATCATTAATACTGAATGCAGATGAGGGTTATTGTTTAGGAGAACAGACTCCAGAGAAATGACACCAGCACTTTTGTCAAAGGCCTCAAGTTTGAGTATGCAAAGTAGAAACAGGCAGCTGTGCGCAATACTTTGCTGCAGGGGGAAAATGCAGGGGATATAGTTAAGAAGAACAAATCACTGCATTATTATCTCTCTTCAGGGCCGACTCTAGCGTTTTTGCCACCCCAAGTAGCAAAACCAAAAATTTTAAAAAAGGTGCGACCGCAAGTGGCGGCAGCTCTACTGCTGCTTCATTCTACTGCGGCAATGCGGCGGCAGGTCCTTCGCTCCGAGAGGGAGTGACAGCCCCGCCGCCGAATTGCCACCGAACGGGCGGACAAGCCGCACCCCTCTTCATTGGCCGCCCCAGGCACCTGCTTGCTATGCTGGTGCCTGGAGCCGGCCCTGTCTCTCTGTCCATTCTATTCTCAGATCTGTAGCTTTCCTTTATGGAAAAAGGGGAGGTAATTCAAGACAACACCACTATGGCACACTGATCCCAGCTTCATTTTCAGCCCCTTGTGGCCATTGCATTGCACCATAAAGTTAGAGCTTCTCTAGTTCAGTGCAGGGCAGGGAAGACAGAAGCATCAGAATCAAGGGAGCTCAAAGGAGAGCTTTAATTTGTACTCTGTTGCGTTTGCATGCAGCTGGCCCTCTAGGTTTTAGAGTAATTTTCTACAGAGCCCTACAGAATTTCTTCAGAACACTTTTGGTTTAGTTCTTATTATTAGGATGTTTTCTCAAAAAGTAAAGTTAAAAGCGATGAAGAATAGAAGACCTTCACTTAGTACTTTCTAATCTCCTAGCTCCCACCTAAGTTTGTAGCAATTGAAAAGATTCATCATGTTGAATGATTTGACTGAGATAGGATAATGACTAACAAATGTGAGGACTGAGGTTATTAGGGCCTAATTTACAGATGAAGTTTAAGCATGTACAGTGAAATCCAAAAAGATTTGAAATATTCTTGGTGAGATTCTGGCCTGATGCTCATCTGGTTCACACCAATTCTGCACCAGTGAAACTTCACTGATTGTGGTATAGTTGCATCTGATTCATGAGCAGGGAATCATCTGATTCATGAGAAGGGAATCAGGCCCTCTGGTTTGAAAACTGCCCTGGCAGTACGGCACTAAAAGGAGGGCGAGAGAGAGAAGAAACATACTAATTATGGCTGTGTAACATTTGCTTTTATTTCAGTGGATTTCTAATCATGATGGACAAATCACTTAAATGTGTCTGGGAGATTTTATGGGGATTTAAATATGTATTTATTATTTTTCTTACAAATTTATCATCCATTAGGTTAATCTCATTAAAATCAGAGTTTATTGAGCAGAAATGTCTCCAGTGAAGTCAGGGAGTTCCATATACCTCCATCAAATCTGAATTTGGCCAGACGTGTGAAGCAAATTATTTGAATTTCCAATGATAATTCTTTCATTGCTTGTTTTTCTTTACACTGATAGCTGTTCCTGTTATCTGTGGTTATACTGCCTTTTGTGAACAGCCAGTAGATTAACAAAGTGATGTTTTGCTTTTACCCTAGATTATCTATTTGTGGGAAATTCTCAAGAAATGAAATAAACATGTATTTATTTATTTATTTATTTATTTATTATAAATCACAGCTGTACTGAAGAGTTTCTTTGAACTGTCTTTTTGTTTTGATCTTCCATTCATTACAGTTCTGCTCAGTGCTAGACTGCAATTTAGAAAGAAAAATTTACATAGGTCATTTGAGAGACTGAGATTTCCCCCCGTGTTGTAAAGTCAATATCAGAAGACAGTCAAAGTTGCTGATCCTGGTACCAGCCCTCCTCTCTCTACCAGCAGCAGGAATTTAGAAATGATGAGTAGGTCTGTGCCGGGCACATTTATAACTCAGACATAGATTTCTTTTGTGCTTCACAGGAGACAGGTAGCACTTAGCTGTGCTCCATAGCCCTAAGTGTGTTTGTAGGAATGATGCATTTTACATTTAGACAATTGTTATATAAAAAATTCTCATCTTTGGGAGATAATTTCCAGACCTGTCCAGACACACAGTACTACACACATATGCAGCCCATATGCCAAAGGCATTTCTTACGTTTTAGAGTGCATGTATGTTAGGCATTAGAACTATTTTGTATGCATTATTTCAGTAAGAGCTTAAATTAACAAAAAGAGGAATTGTACCTCTAGGGAGAGGACAAGGAATACACAGGGCCGGCTCCAGGCACCAGCTTACCAAGCAGGTGCTTGGGGCGGCCACTTCGGAGAGGGACGGCATGTCCAGCTGTTCAGCGGCAATTCGGCGGACGGTCCCTCACTCCCGCTGGGAGCGAAGGACCTCCCGCCGAATTGCCACCGCAGATCGCGATTGCGGCTTTTTTTTTTTTATTTGTTTGGCTGCTTGGGGCGGCCAAAACCCTGGAGCCGGCCCTGGGAATAC